TCGGTTTTTAAGGTATGTCCACAGCCCTTATGTCCAGAATGTCTTAAAATACCTACCTCTGGAGCATTTAAATTGAAAAAGAACACAGAGAAGCCATGTTATCTTCTCTAAATGTTACTGGTTTATAGTAGTCTTGGAATATCACTATTCATTGTGTATGACCCCCTCAAAAAGAATGCTGATTCAGGGCCTCAACATTGCAGGACAGGAAATAATTTTATTTTCTGGCTGGGGTTTCAAAATGTCAGCAACTCAAAGATTTTTTTTTGTATTTATGTGAGGTTGTGCTGTTAGTGTTGTATATCAGTTCTCTGGTGTATATGTGTAAATGTGGTCATGCATTTTAATGTTGCTTATTAAGTATTAATTTATCTTCTGCATTGTCATAGTAGTACTTTTTCCACTTTAAACTATTTTTTGCAATGTCATAATCTTGTGCAAATGGTCTTAAGAAGGAGTGGTGACTCGTACTAATTTTTCATTTGATTTTCTCGAAATTTTCACCAATACTCTCAGCTTTCAGTTGATGGAACTTTTTCCTTGGGTTTTAATTTTATTATCCCTCAGTATGTGTTTTGGTGTTTAAAGAAGCTATTTAATTGGCTTGTTTTAGAAATTCTTACTTCCTATGCCATTTCAGAGTTGTGTGGAAAGTTGTAAGGTACTCATTCAAGCGGTTGACACTTTAGGCTCATGAGTAAGATAAGTCTTAAGCTTGAAGCCGAGGGAATTGTTGGAAACAGGATGTCCATGAATGAGAATTGTCAGGTGGTAAAAGAAGTTTAAAAGTAGTACAATTAAAGGTGTGTAATACTTTAGTTGAAACAAGGTTTATTAGCTATGTCCAATAGGGGTGCACAGAAAAAATACATTCTGCTTTTCTTAGTTTATTTCTATGATGCATTTCTTAAGAGTTTCTGTAATGACTACTTAAATTCTCAATGTCTTCTTTTTAAGTCCCCCTCTCGAATTGTCTTCTGAATCAAGCTTAGTTGCTAAACTTCAAGAAGAACTGAAAGAAGAGAAAATGAAATTTTTAGAGCAACTTGAAGAGCAAGAGAAAAGGAAGAATGAAGAAATGCAAAACATTAGAACCTCTTTAACTGCAGAGCAACAGGTAAAGCAGACATTTTTTATTCTTTTGTGGTCAGAATATTTAAGATTCTGTGATTTTAACATTTAAAACGTTTGTCATATAACTTAAATCTCATGTACATAGTCATCTGGACAGTGTGCTACTATCATTAGAATGTCAAGCATCAGGACTGGATATGACTTCTGTGGCCATTAAACTTTGACTTGGGTAAAAAGCACCTCAGCTTAAACTTGTGGATGTAGAGTGTGTAGGTTGGCCATATTTCCTTTTCTCTTTCTTATAAGCGTGTTACCATAACACTTTTCTCAAACCAACAATGCTTAACTGAGCTCCCACAAGAGCTTGATTACGTGAATATTCTGGAGAAATGGTGTGCGATTAATCAGATGAAATTCAGCAATGACAGATGTGAAGTCCTGCACTTAAGACAGAATACTCAAGCACAAATACAGATTGGAATGACTGGGTAGGCTGCAGTACTGCAGAGAAGGACCCAGGAGTTTATAGTAGATTATAAACTGAATATGAACCAAAAGCATGTTCTTGTTACAAAAAACAAAACAAACAATAAAAGCTAGTAGTAGACTGGGTTGTATCAATAGGAGTGTTATTTGCAAACCAAGGGAAATGATACTTTGTTCTATTCAGTACTGGTGAGGCATCACCTGGAGTTCCATGTCTATTTTTGGGCCCCACAGTTCAAGGAAGATCTGGACATTTTGGAAAGAGTACAGCACTGAGCAGCAAGTATGATTAGAGATGAGCAAGATTTATGAGGGAAGACTGAAAGAAGTAGGGTTATTAGTCTGGAGAAGAGAAGACTGAGGGGGGTGAAACAGTCTGCAAGTGCCCAAAAGGACAGAAAGGATGGAGATGGGCTATAGAGGACAGGACTAGAAACAAGGCCTCAAGTTGTGGCAGAGGAAATTTAGGGTGGAGAATAGGAGGTACTTTCTGACTATGAGGGTGGTCAAGTATTAGAACAGGCTACCTGGAGAAGTTGGGGACTTTCCATCCCTGGACACTTTCAAGAGCGGGGTAGACAGATACTTGGCTGGGATTATTTAGTCAGGGATAATTCTGCCTTGAGGAAGGAGCTGGTTTAGATGTCCTTATGTGGTCCTTTCCAGTCCTACTTTCCCGTGCTCCTGTTTTTCTGATTAATCGTAAGGTACAGTATCTCTAAGCAACATGAAACTGTTTCCAATCCCAGTTGATTCAGATAATCACTTGCATACTCTTGGCTGAGGCAAAAGCTGACCTTTAGGTTCAAATCAAACTTTCTACTATGTATTTCATTGTAGATTTATGTTTTTAAAAATGCCCACACCTTCTAAGCATCCATCCTTTGTTTGTAGGTTCAGTATACTAAATACATACCAAATCATACTCGGAAGCAGGGGTGGGCAATTATTTTGGGCGGAGGGCTGCTTACCAAGTTTTGGCAAGCTGTTGAGGGCCTCATGGGTAGCCCCACCCCTTGACAGGAGCCCTGCCCCCTGGTCACCATCTTGTAACCAGAAGTCCCTCCCCTTGCCCCCAGAAGTACTCCTTTCAGCAAGGGGTATTGCCATCTTGGAACCAGAAAAATACCAAATTATATTCTAAAAATCTACAGCATTCATTAATTTGATTTCAAAAAATATTTTGTCCTGATTTACATGCATTTGTGTAGTGTGCATAGAGATGATTGCACAATAGCTTAATGAAATCTTATTCTTTTATGTTGTGGTGGGTGGGTATAGATTTGTGGGGGGCTGTGTATGGGAGTGAATACGTGGGGTGTGGGTGGGTATGGGGCTTGTATATGACAGTGCAAGGCAGGGTGTTGGTGAACTCACGCAGACTCTCTCCCTGAGACTGGATGGACGCTTACCAGTGCAATCCCAAGCTCCATGGTCTGGCAGTGTAGCCGGGAGCCACGTGGTGCTGGACCAGGGCCGGGGAAAGAAAGCAGGGAACTAGCTGGGGGTGGGGTGGGTCTGGGCTGTTCAAGCCTGCTGAGGCTTCCTGTGGGTCCTGCTGCGCCTGGCTCCTGTCTGCTTTCACATGAAGCCAATAGGTAATAAATATTAATTTATTACATTTTTTAGGGGCCTTGCAGGATGAATAGAATGGCCTGGCGGCCAGATTTTGCCCGCCCCTGCTCAGAAGGATAGGCTGTACATATATCCAGCAGTTCTTCCTTTCCCCAAAGATTCTTGGAAAAGATTCATGAACAGCTGGAAAATTTTCATAAATGTTTATCCATTTGCAAGAGTGTACATAGGCTGTGAGCATAGTGGAGAATGTAGATTCCTCTTCCTTGTTGTGTGTCTTTTTTTTTTTTAATTGCATCCTTCAGAACACGTGGTAATTAGTGTAAGATTTTTCTCACCTTAATGCAGGGGTGGCCAATCTCTGGCCTGCTGGCTCAGTGCAGCCCATGGAGCCATTGTCTGGACTACAGGGCGGGAAATTTGGCAGTGGGGGAGCAGTGGCTATCAGTCACCCTCCCCTGCTGAATTCCCAAACCCCAAGCCCTGTACATCCAGTTGAGGCCAGGCTGTGTATGTGTGTCCCAAGCATCTGGGCTGGGCCAGGCCATGCCTCCTTCCTCCGACCCATGGGGTTGGTTTGGTGGTGGGCTACACGGCTTCCTCATGAATGCAAACCACATACCTTTTCCCCAAAGAAGTGGGCCATGCCCCCTCTCCCCCCCCCCCCAACGGGGCTGGTTTTGGAATGAGCCATGCCCCCTTACCCCCTGCAGGGCTAAGCCAAGGCCCTTTACAGCTGGGCCACGCCACTACCCTCTGCAGAGCTGGGATGAGGCTGGCCATGCTCCCTTTTCCCCCTTCTCTGTGCAATAATTTTTTATTAACAAAAACACCACCTTCAAAAAAACAAAAACAGTTCTTGCCCACAAGTCTTCATAATCAAACTCAAAGCAAACAGCATTTTATGGCACAAATATAGTTCAGGAGGAAAAAGTGCATTTATATCTATTTCCTTGTCTGTTTCTTTAGTTCAGACTGTGTTGCAGGCTGTTGTTTGTCTTGCATGCCTTGTCTTCATTTACGTTGTCCTACTTGTAAATTCTGTAATACTAGTTGTCTTTTCAGACCAATTTTAACACAGTTCTGACGAGAGAAAAAATGAAAAAGGAAAACATAATAAATGATCTTAGTGACAAGTTAAAAATGCTAACCCAACAGCAAGAAAGGGATAAAGGTAAGCAAAATACTTTATCAAAATATATTGGCTATCTTTTAAAAAACTAATACAGAACTTTTTAAGCACTTATTTTTAATAAACATTTTCATTTGCTTCTGTAATCTAGATTTGATTGAAACACTTTCTGAAGATCGGGCTCGTTTACTTGAAGAAAAGAAAAAACTTGAAGAAGAAGTTAGTAAACTGAGAAGCAGTAACTTCATTCCATCAGCATATCTACCTGCAGGATCAGAAACTTGTGGAGCCTGTGCATCTGATCTTGCATCTGAAACAGACAGATTGGCTTCTGAGATTGTAGCTGAAGGAAAAATGGATTCCACCATGGAAACTAGTATGATGGCTGTGCAGTAAGTATCTAAGAAGCAATATAGCCATTCTGTTAGTAGTACAGTCAAATATTTTAATGTACAAATGAGTGTTTAAATTCCATTTTAGTAGTCAAAACTTCTTTCCTTGAGGACCTGCTCACTTATTTTCCCAGGTATTGAGGTCAGGCTGACTGGTCTGTAATTTCCTGGATCTTCCCTTGCTTTCTTAAAAACAGGCACTATATTTCCCCTTCTCCAGTCCTAAAGGACCTCATTCAACCTCCCTGAGTGCTCAGAAGATAGCCAGGTCCTTCAGTAGTCTACTAGAATGCATCGCATTTGGCCATGCTGTCTTAGAAAAACTAGATGCTTTCAAGTAATCCTCAACCTGTTGACTGTTTCCTCTACCTTTCTTGTCAACTGCATTTGTCATCTGGTCTGGTAGCTGCCCCTGTTTATGAAGAGTGAAGTAAAAAAAGCATTAAATACTTCAGTCTTCTCTACATAATGTTCTAGCCTGTTGTTCATAATATTCTTTGCATCTTTTATTGTACCGCAGGCTGCTGTTGTGTATCTGGTTAAAATTTGGCTAGAAAGAAAAAACTTTAATACAGTTTTTCATGCAACTTTCTTTGGATCAGGCTAGATCAGGGATTACATACAGCATGCAGGCTGGATCTGGTGGCATTTTTTTGGTGGGGGGACCTCCATACCATGCTGTAGTCAGGTGCCCTGGGCTTTGGTGGAGGCAGAGTTCTTCTTGCACCATGCCACAGTCAGATGCCTGGGCTTCAGCAGAAGGGAGTGTTCTCTGTACCACACCACATTTGGGTGATGTGAGCAAAGGAAGGCTCTCCAATAGAGCAGGAGCAGGCAGAGGGATAGAAGTGGTGGAGATGTTTGGGTCCTAGTGCCCACACACTTTAAACCTCATCTGGGTCATTCAGGCTTCCTACCAGAAAATGTTGCCAATCTCTGGGTATCTATAGCATGACTTAAATAGGGATGATCCTGTCGTGAGCAGGGGAGGGGGCTGGATTAGATGACCTCGTACAGTCCCTTCCGGCGTTACTTTTCTGTGGTTCCAACTCATTTGCAATTCATTGAAGAAGTGCATTCATCAAATAAAGTTTCAGTATTTATTCATTTACATAACTGCTTATTTTTACTTTTAACGCTCTGTCTTTGTTTAAATATTGTAGTTTTATCAGTTCTCTGTCAAAGAGTATTTTACCAGTATATTAGAAATTCTGCAGTATTGTTGCACAGAATGGATTATGGGGTGTAATTTTAGCTTTGAGCCTGGACTTGCTGGCTGTTTTTTGTAGTCGGTCTCCTGTCAGTCTGACAAACCAGGTTAAAGAAGTTTTTCTCCAATACTTTATCTTAAACACATTTTCTGTATTATTTACTTTGAATTTAAGTAAGTAGATAACGGATGATCATTATTTTTATATGCAACTCTTGTAAAAACAATTTCAAATGTGTTCTTCAAGTGAAAAAAACAAGTTTTTTAAACTAATAATTCAAAGGAGCTTGTTTCTCCAAGCATAATTAAATAAATAATTTCAACATAATTTTTATTCTAAAGCCTTGTAATGTACTTGTCATATGATTGCCTTCGTAACCTTAAAGTGGTATGGGCTCTTTTTGGATAAATGACTATTACAAATTTGTATTGTAAGAAAGAAATGAAATACGCTATTCCAAAGTTTGGTTCAATTTTAATGAAAAATTTACAAATGAGTTGCATTCAAAAGCATCTATCTTATTGTATACATTGTATTTTCTTGTTTCTCTCTGGGATCTTAATAGTTTTTCTTTTTTTATCTTAGTGAAAACATCCATATATCTGAAGAAAAACAGAGGATAATGTTGCTAGAAAGAGTAAGTCAATTATCTTTTTATTAAATTTAAAATGTAATTGTTTCTTTAAAGCTCTCAGTGGTGACAAATGACAGAACAAGGAGTAGTGGTCTCAAGTTGTGGGAAGGGAAGTTTACATTAGATATTAGGAGAAACTTTTCTATTGGGGAGTAGTAAAGCACTGGAACAGGTTACCTAGAGTGGTGGTGGAACCTCCATCCTTGGAGGTTTTTAAGACCCAGCTAGACAAAATGCTGCCTGGATGATATAGTTGGGGACGGTCCTACTTTGTACAGGGGGTTGGGATGAGCTCCTGAGATTCCTTCCTATCCTAATTTTCTATGATTTTGTACTTAACTTCACAAATGCAGCGTTCATTTTATGGTGTTGCTGATTATTTTGGTGTAGTTCAATATTTATAAAAGATAAATGTGTTTTTTCAGGGAACAGTGGCACAGACTTTCATGGACACTAAGCTCATTTAAGACTGCCCTACCTACTGGTTAAAGAGCTTTACCGTGTACATAAAGTTAATGTATTCTTAAGCTAAATGTCATTTTAAACTTCACAGTGTGTAAAGTGGCTTTAGAATCATGGAGCTGAAAGGGACCTTGATGGTCTTCTAGTCTAGCCCCCAGTACAAATACAGGATACAAAATGTAGAATTAGGCCCAGGATTTCCATTCCAAGTAATGGTAACCTTGGCAGGTTTGCTGGTTCCTTGAATATTTCTATATAGAAAAATAATAAATGAACAGCAGATGAAATCTTAATCTCTTTGAGAATAGTGCAGCTTTTATAGAGAGATGCAAGCAAATAATTTGAACAGGTAATCAGACACTAAATAGATTTAGTATAACTGACCACACTTCTTTTCTCTCATACTAATCCAAGACCTGTTTTATGGTTTTTTGTTTTGTTTTGTCTTCTCAAAGCAAGGACATTTTAAAAATGGGGTCAAAATCTGAGTCATTTGAAACCCTTAAAGTTTCTTATCTGAAACTATATAAAAAATATATTGCTTTCTTTTTTAAGTAGTGTAAGAGTGATGTTGTAACTCTGATGATCCAGATCTTATGCAACAGCCAAAGATTTATTTGGGTGTTGACTTTTATTGGACCAACTGTATTCTTGGGATAGAGTTAGACAAGCTTTTGATTGCAAGACGTTCTTCAGGTCCAAGTAAAAGCTAGCACAGCATACTCACAGCAGTTGGTCCAGTAAAGTATGTCACCCTAATGAATCCTTGCCTCTTGCATCGTACTACCATAGATCAGTTTAATTCTAGTTATAGGTTAACCCTTATGTGATAGTGTCTTTCTGATGGTAGAACTATAGATACTTTTATTTATGGTTTACATATGTAATTGTTTTTTTTTTCTTTGTGCTTTTGCATTTTAAGTGCGGTGTTATAGACTAGAATATCACTTTGCAAGCCAGGAATCTAGAGGTTTTCACAAATGTTAGATGTGTGTAACATTTAAAACTAGGGGTGCACCGATAGAGATTTTGGGGGCCAATACTGATACCCGATTATTTAAGTAGGCATATCGGCCGATACCGATCCAATTTCAGATACAGGTGCCTCCAGCTGGTAAGTCCATGTGGTGGAAGAGGAGGGAAGGGGCATGGGGGAGAGGGGCAGATCAATGCTCCCTGTGGTGAGAGGGGAGGGGCAGGGGCCAGGCGCTGCTTAGCAGGGACGGGCTTGGGATGGAGCCATGGATTGTGATGGGGGGGGGATGCATGGGCGGAGGCAGGGCCTTGAGCCGGGCAGCTGGTGTCACTGGGAGTGGAGCTATGGTGAAATTTGGGGTGGATGTAGCCCCCACCCAGCACTGCCAGCACTCGCTCTGAGCCCAGCCCCTGGCAAGAAGAGCCCCACACAGTTCTGGCTCCAGCCC